ATTTGGACCATATCGGTTACTTCCTTAAAAGGTATTTGAGAATTTCTTAAAAAATATTAAAATGTGAGTGACCAGAAGAAATGGTCCGATCTCTACCATCTTTATAACAGATCTTGTGTTGTTGGAAACATTGAGATGTACCAAGTCTGAAGTCAATTTTGCGTTTTATGGGAGCCATTGATATTCAAAATTTGTTTGAGGTGCCAGAAGGAGTGGACCGATATATCCCATCTTCAGAGCAGATCTTGTGTTAGTAGTTATAATGGGATAAGTGAAATATGAAATGAATCGGATGCTTATTTCGGATTTTATAAACGATTTGGTTATTCAAAATATTGACCCTTTGTGGGGGAGGTACCAGAAGGAATGGCCCGATCTCTACCGTTTTATAACAGATCTTGTGTTGATAGAAAAATTCAGGTATGTCAATTCTGAGCTTATTCAAATTTTCGACCTATTGTGGGGGAGGTACTAGAAGGAGTGGACCGATATATTCCATCTTAACACCAGATCTTGGGTTTATAAAAATATTAGATAAATAATTATTCAACATTTTGACCCTTTGTGGAGGGAGGAACTTGATGGAATGCCGATATTGTCCATTTTCACACCTGTCCTAGCACCTTTCACGTTCAGTGCAAAAAATTTATTTTTTTGAAAATTTCGACCTTTTGTGGGGGAGGTACCAAAAAGGGTGTACCGATATTGCGCATCTCCGAACTCGATCTAAGTTTGAGATAAAATATTATGATGTACCAAGTTTGGACCAAATCGGGTACTCCCTGCCAAAGTTATCGTGCGCACCGGTCAAACAGACAAACGAACGGACGGAAATTGATAGATCGACTTCAAATGTTCTGAAACGCATTTGGTCCAAAGAGACCTAGGGTTTAAAACTGTTATTTCGACTAGGCACGTTTTGATTGTATCAAATGATATATACCCTCTCTAGCTATAAAAGTAATAGGAAAAAGTTTACTTTTGATGTTTCATTTTGAAGTTTACCGAGGAGAATTTTAGTAAAACCATTGCACAATGGACTCACAACCAATCTTTCTATCTTCAAAGTCTCCATACGTAAAAATTGGAAACCATCATTGGGCTCAATATCAAATTTCAGCTCCATCCCTTCAGCGATAGTTTAATTTAATAGCATTTAATTCTTTATAGTATACATTTATAGTATACATTTTCAAAACAATTGCCTTGTTTCATGCTCAGATACAAAGAGAGACTTCAATATCATATTTGGGAACTCCAGCTCTATCTCATTCACTGAGCACCAAATTTAGTACTATTTAGGACTATTCCTGCAATTATAGTACACATTTTCTATAGCAGCTCCATATCTTAACCACAGACACCTACAGTTACGTCTATATCAATTTTCAGGATTCCAGCCCTATCCTTTCACCCAATACCCAATGTAGTACTACTTGCTACTTTTCGGACAATAGTAGTACACAGTTCCGAAGCCAACTCAACATCTCAATCACAAATACCAACAGAACACCTATATCAAATCTCAGGACTCCAGCTCTATCTTTTAGTACCAAATTTAGTACCATTTAGTACTTTTCTAACAATTATATAGGACACATTTCAAAACAACCCCCAAATCTCCAACTTAGATATCATCAGTAACGTATATAACAGATTTCAGAATTTATCCTTAATCCTTTCAGCACTGTTCATACAATTATAGTACACATTTCCGAAACCACATCCATATGTTCACTCTCCATATGAGCAGCGACCCTAATACCAAATTTCAGATTTCACCCAATATCAAATCGTACCAAATATAGTACTCTTTAGTACTTTTCGAGCACTTGTGGTACACATTAACCAATAACAAATTTCAGATTTCCAGCGCTATCTGTTCATTCAATATAAAATTGTATCATATGTAGTACATTTTAGTAAACATTTCCAAAACCACCTCTTTATCACAAACCTACTGCTGACAGGGACCCCAATACACAATTTCCAAATTTCAGCTTTATTCGTTGACCCTAAGCCAAACTGTTCCAAAATTAGGACCATTTAGAACTTCAAACTTAGTTTCCAACCTTGATTCTCTTACCAACATTCATATTTTGAGCTCTAACCATTCAGATAATAATATTTTAGAAGAAGTTTGGTACCATTCTAGAGCTTTTCGTAGCTTTAAGGTTCAAATATATAATAACTCTTTGTTATATCTATTCTGCACTCCATCAGTGACTTTCATTCCACATTTAAGAATTCTAACTCGTTCCGTTTGTCCAATACAATGTATTCAATTTTTATTACTTTTCGTACCCGTTTAGTACGAATTTCCAAAACCCCAGCGTTATCACATACCTACGCAACAATACTGGCCCTCGTGGTTTTGTTATAGCCTGTAGTACCGATTCCGAACTTCAAATACGAAATTTAAAACAATTCCATTGAATGATATTTCTAATATGATCAATAATCAAATAAAGTGAGGCAGCGAAAATTCTTTTCAGACAATTCCATTGAAAAATGTGCCTAAAATCATCAAATACCGAATATCGGGAGGTACCATTATATGGGGGATATCGTGGAGGTGTATAGACCGTTCCCTTATAGAGTACCCAGAAGGAACTTCTTGTGTGGATTTTCAGGCAATCCCATTGACAAATTATGGGGAGTACCGTTATATCCATCTTCGAACTTGACTTGCCTGCAGCTAAAAGACTTATCTGGACAAAATATTAGCTACCTACCTTAATTCGTTTTGACTCTAACGTAATAAAAACAGGCGGGCAGAATTAAGTCTTCTTAGAATTTTACTGTGATCAAGATCATTTATGTATTTTGTTAGGTCTAAAATTATTATTTCGATAATTTACATATGGAATAACGAACTTAATATACCCTCCATACTATGTATGGTGGAGTGTATAAAAATTGTGATCCTTTGTGGGGATGTACCAGAAGGGGTAGGCCAGTATATATCATTTTCGCGCCATATCTTGTATTATTAGGAATAATGGAATATGCTTATTTCTGACGTATTTTACAAAAAAATATAATTATTCAAGCCGTTGTGGAGAGGTACCAGAAGGAGTGGTTCGACATATTCCAACTTCACATCTAGTCATGTATTGATAGAAATATAAAATAGTCGGATGTTCATTTCGCATTTTGGAGCTTTTTGTTATTCAACATTTTGATCCCTTTGTGGGGAAGGTACCCGGAGGAGTAAACTGTTGTATTCTGTCCACATTCTATACAAATAATTCGCATTTTATAAGATCTATATTTATTCTAAATTTTGTGGGGGGAGTTACTTGACGAATAGAGCAGATATTGTCGATTTTCGCACCTGATCTAGCACTGACAAAAATATTTCTCTTTCTATGAGGTAAATTACTTACTTTGAAAATGTTTTTTTTTTGTGTCGGAGGTACGAGAAGGAGTGGACCGATGTTGTCCATCTCCGAACTCGATTTAAGTTTGAAAATAATATTACGATTTGCCATTTTGGACTAAATTGGATACTCCTTTCGAGAGTTATCGTGCGAACCAGCCAGGCAGAGAGACAGACGGGCAGACTGAACCCATAGATCGACTCAAAATGTTCTGAATCGAATTTGGTCCAAAGCGACATAGGGTTTGAGACCGTTATTTTGATGAGGCCCGTTTTGGCCGTATCAAATGTTATATACTCTCTTCAGCCATATGACTGAGGGTGTAAAAATATTTAAATTTTTATTAACATCTTTTCATTCGATTTTATTCTCTTTTGCCAAAAGGTCATTCTGAATTGGTGAAAATTGTCAAAAATCAGTTCAGCCGTTCTTGAGTTAAACCGCTTTAACTACATCCCTTTTTTATACTCTTCACCACAGTATGGAGGGCATATTAAGTTTGTCATTCCGTTTTGTAACACCTCGAAATATACATTGCATCAGCATAAAATTCTATGTCGATTTAACGATGTCCGTCTGTGGGAATCACTCTAGTTTCCTAACGAAATGAAGTAGATTGATAAAATTTTACTCAAATGATTATTATATCTGCAGAACTATTTTGATTATTTTTAGACGCATTATTCTCCGGAATTTGGTATTTGAATTTTGTAATGAATACTACAGCCTATGGCAAAAAATTGTCTGTGCAGGTCCACGTCTTCGTATAGCCCTCATATAACGGTACCACCCGATATTCGGTATTTTGATGATTTTAGCGTGAGGATCGGCCAATAATTGCGACCTGTAGCGAGATTACAATTTTAAATGGACTGACGAAACAAATGGGTTGAAGGTCGGACGTACATACAAAGGTACATCGACTCAGCTTGACGAGAAAAGAAGGTCCATATACACATTACATAATTTTTGTCCCAATCAAACTTATAATACCCACAACACACAGTATTGTAGGGTACACAAATATATCGAAATCCTTTGGCAATGGCAATATTGAAACACATTCAAAATGTCTTTATTTCTAAGAATAGATGCCGAGCAATTGGTTAATGCCCTTTTATAATTTAGTATTTTTCTACCCTCGTCATATAATTACCTCTATTAATACCGTCTGTGGTCTCTCCCCCTTTTGGCTAATTCAAAAACAATTCATTTGAAAAACAAGAAAACCGTTAATGACATACTCCCCCCTTCCTTTTGCACTCAGCATCATCATCATCTGCTCAAACGTGAAATAATAATATTCATGTTGCTGTCGAATCATCCGCAGGTGTTCGACAGATACTTAATTGATAATGGTTTACAATACACTTAGCTTCAATTTGTGCAAATATTCATTCATTCTTTCATTCAGTCGCTCATTCATTCCACTAACAGCATTTTCATGTAATTAATGTAGTTACAACGACAATAACAACAGTAGCAGCAGCAGCAGCTACAACAATCACATCGACCACATCCGCATCATAGCCACATTCCTATGGAAAATAAAGTAATTCATTTTCACCATCACCAACCAATTTTCAATGTTCCCTCTGTCTGTGTTCTTTCTTTCAGGTTGGGATGATTGGAGCGATTTCACCGTTTGCAGTGTGGCCTGCGGCAAGGGTGTTCAGCAACGTTTCCGCCGATGCCTTCTCGATAATCCCATGGTCGATATGAAAATGAATTTCAATGAAATCGAAGAAGAAGAAATCCAAGCCGAAGAAGAGGAGCTGGAGGTGGAGGAGCAAGTGGAACAGTATGACGATGATAATGAACTGAGCGACGATGACTCGTTGGGAGATGCCGAGGAGGAGAAACAATATGATGATATTGACAGAATGATATTTGAGGATGATGATGACGATGAAATCATTGAACAGCTCAAAGCTATCGACAACTATGACAGCGCCGATGATGGTGTGCGTTCAAACGATGTTGGTGTAGGTGCCGGTGCCGGTGCTGGTCAAGCTGTTGCCTTTGGCTTTATAAATGAACGTTATAAAAAACCGGATGTTAGAAATAAAAAGCATCGTAGAAGAGCTCAACTATCACAGGATGTAGGCGGCGAGAATGATGGCGAGCAGGAGGATGGCATTGAAGTGCCGAGCCAAACGGATGTATACGAAGTGGACAACAATATGTTGCACTTTGTGACAGCACCATCAGTGACATTGGTAGGTGAAAAAACACAATCACGAAAGGCAAAAAATAATCGCCAAACGAGAACAACAAAAGCAGCAACAGCAACGACTACAACAACTGAACAACCCGAAATTATGCGCATATTTGAGGGTGATTTCAACGATGTCTATAGCGAACGAATTTACAATGAAAGTCCATTTAATGGTCCCCAGTTGTCCGAGGATAAACGAGACTTGAAAATGCACAAAAAAGGGCAGCGTTCGAAGCATAGACGTCATAAATCAGCAAAAATCGTCAGCACAATGTTCTGTGAGGGCTACAACATTGAACAGAGGACGTGTAATAATTTCGAATGTAGTGGTAAGTGAGAGATAGAGAGAAAGATTGAATTTAATGTGGTTTTCGTTTTTGTTTTCATAATTTTTACAAGATTTAGAATTTATAATTTAAGGATAAGATTTCACTTTTCAAGTGGATTTTTATTGCATTTTTATAAAATCTGTAATCTTTGTTACTGTATCTGGTATTTTTTGTTATTTTCTTTTATAATTGAATGATTAAATCTCAATTTTTAATATGATTTTCATAATTCTTATATACAAGATTGTGGTCTTTAGAAATGTGATCGGTGTTTTTTGTTATTTATAATTTAAGGATAATAATAAAAGAGTAATGTAATTGACTGAATTAAAGATTTGTCAACGCCCACACGAAACGGCTGAAGCTAGAATTTCGAAATTTTGGGTGAGGGTCACTCATGGTCCGAAGGGGTAACATAAGACTGGATTTATGGAAATACGTATTAGAACGGTGCGAAAAATATTAAAACGTACTAAATATGGTACTCTTTGCATTTGAAGAATCAGTACAGTTAGAACTCTTAAAATTGGATTGAAATTCGCACTGCAACTGTGCAAAAAGTACTACAAAGTACTACAGTTGGTACCATTTCGTAACATGTAAACTGTTGGAGTAAAAAACTTATATTTTGAATAGGAATTAAGGTTGATTGTTAGAGTCCACTTAATGAGTAAGTCTTAGAAGTGTGTTCTCATGTATACGAAAAGTACTAAACGGTACGGACAAATGAAATTTGGAGAAACGGATGGAGCTGGAATATTTTAAGTCAGCATTATAGGCAGAGGGTAGGATTGGGATATGAAGGAGGTTTTTCGAATATTGAACTTATATGCACGAAAAGTACTAAAAGGTCCAATACAGGGTGAGATGAAAAAACTGCAACCAACTTCAGACTGCTGTCATTTCTAAGCCACTCGTCCGACGGATGTTAAAATTATTCCTGTGACAGCTCATTATATTGTTTACAAGCGTACAAAAGCATTTTGGTAAGAATTTTCCAGAAAAAAAGTTATTCGTGATGGAATTCAAACGTGATAGTGTGATTTCTTTAGCGTAGCCCGACATCAAGGAATTGGGCCGAAGAAAACAGCAACATCAGCAGAAATGATTCGAAAAGTAAGGAAGCGACTTGATCGAAACCCTCGTCGCAGTGGACGAAAAATGGCTCGTGAGCTGAACACATTGCAATATCCCATTCGGCAAATATTGAAAAACGAGCATTGAAATTCCAAAAAGTGCAAGAAGTTACACCGCAACAGAATGAAAATAGACTCAAAACAGCCAAAGAGTTGCTTCGCTTGCCCGAAAGTGGTAAATTGCCGATTTTGGTTTTTTTCGATGAGAAAACATTCGTTGTCCAGCAGCTTGTAAACAAACAAAACGGTCGTCAGAACAAATCACGAATATTATCTCGAAAATATTCTGGAGGGTGTATTAAAGCCTTGGGCACGCAAACATTTTGGCCGCAGACCTTGGACATTCCAATAGGACTCAGCACCATCGCAATCAGCACGCGCCACCCAAGAATGGTTACAAAATGAGGTTCCACTCTTCATTTCCAGCGCACAATGGCCACCGGATAGCAATACGTTGGACTATAGTGTCTGGAGTATTTTGGAAAGCAAAACTTGGCACTAAAATATACCAAAGTTTCGATCCCCTCAAGCAAGCGCTTCGCCGAGAATGGGCCAAAACACCGCAGAGCAACATTCGGGCAGCGTGTGACGGTTTTATTGGCCGTTTGAAGGTCATAATTTCTGCCAAAGGTGACCAATTCAGACAAATCTAAACTTCTTCTAAAATTTGATGGTATTTCCGACTTTTTTGCTTTCATTCAATAAAATTTAAAGAAACAAGTAAAAAAGCTGTAAGTTCGGCCGAGCCGAACTTTGAATACCCTCCACCATTTGGTACAAATTTAACAATTTAAAAAAAAAGAATAAAATCCGTTAAAATCTTAAAAATACCGAATCTAGCCGTATATTAGGGTCTATACGACGACCTGCATAGGCAATTTTTGTCACAAGCTATTACAATATTCAAATGCGAAACTTGAAAAAAAAAAATGGTTTATAATGTAGCTAAAATCATCAAAATACCGAATAGAGAGAGGTACCATGGGGGTTATAAAACGTGGACCTGCACAGACAATTTTTGTCATAGGCTGTAGTATCCATTACGAATTTCAAGTACAAAATTCTAAATAATTTCAGTGAATAATGTCTCTAAAATCATCAAAATACCCAATATTGGGAGCTACCGATATGAGGGCTATACGAAGACATGGCTCATTTTCTGTCTTAGGGTGTAGTATCCATTACAAACTTTAAATACCAAAGTTGAAACAATTCCGGTAAATAGTGTCGCTAAAATCATTAAAATACCGAATATCGGGAGGTACCGTTATATAGGGGCTATACGAAGACGTGGACCTACATGGCCAATATCCTGCAGACGTAATACTCATTTGAGTAAAATTTTATCAACCTACTTCATTTCGTTCGGAAGCTAAAGTGATTTCCACAGACGGACGGACAGTGATAAATCGACATAGAATTTTATGCTGATCAAGAATATATATACTTTGTGGGGTCTAAAATGTATATTTCGAGGTGTTACAAACGGAATGACAAACTTAATATACCCTCCATACTATGGTGGAGGGTATAAAAATGTAAAAATTATTGCTTTTGACTTTGTTGCAGTTTTTATCTCATCGTGTAGAGCTAGAATCTAGACATATGATATTGAGGTCTCTCCTGGTATCTAGTGTTATGGATATGGAGGTAGATTTGGAACTGTGTGATATAATTCTTCGAAAATTATTTAATGGTACTAATTTTGTATCACTGTTGATATTTGGGATGGAGAGGTCAGGATTGTTTTGGATAAGGGTATTAAATCTTACTAAATTTGTTACTGGAATAGAGCTGAAAATTGCTACTAAGGTCATTGTTGGTTTCTTGGGTCTTTATATGGAGACGATGAAATAGTTAAAAACAGAAAAATTGGATGTTGGTTCATTCATATTACTAATATCTTTAGAACATTTTTTCAAAAAGAAAAAAATGCATTTGAGCACCATAAAGGCCTAACACGAACTCTTGGATCAAATCTAAGATTTAATATGGAATTTTCGCTAACGAAGTAGCGGGCACTTGCTATTTTCGGGATAAAATATCAATTTCCAATACGATGTTTACAATTTTCATATAAAAGACTATATATTTTTTTCAAATCCTTCAGGTGCGTTAGTATTTGTTATTCCTCTGTTTATTTCGAAAATGTGACATAATTTTTGTTTAATTTCTTGAGTTATTAGTACACCCTCCTATCAGTGATTTATTGTTATCAATTTAAATATTTTCCACCAAACTAATAACACAACATATTCCCCCTCGCCCACTTGTTCTTGTCTCATTTGCAGATGATATCAATGATTTAGTGAAGTTCTATCGAAAATATCCCAGCAGCAGCGAGGAAACAAGCGCAACATCAACGCAGTCATTAAATAACGATTTCAATACAGCGCCATCAGCATCTGTAGCATCATCTTCATTATCGTCCTCCTCATCATCGGCGACAGCGGCGGTTTGGCCTGCCACTTCTTCAGTCACAACATCGGCCGCAGCAGCCGCTAGCTCCAATGCGGCAGCGGCACCTTCGACACAAATAAATGATTTGGGTTTGTGGAGCAGCTTTACCGAAAATACAAATACCATAACACCAGTCCCCAGAAATACTGGTTTTGTAAAGACATGGCATAATTTTTTGAATTTCACAATTATGCTGACATTGCGGGCAAAGGTAAGTAGGGAATATTATGAATCACGGATTAGATGAATAATTCCAATATCTTCTCCAATATCCCAAATATCAAAGTTAGTTCTCTAATCTTAAAACATTGATCTTCAATATAAACGTCGGATTTTATTATTATTTTTATACCCTACAACACTATGTGTTGGGGGTATTATAAGTTTTATTGGGCCAAAAATTATGTAACACCACGAAATATTGGTTTCCAACATAGGCAAGTATACATAGGAAAGTATATATGGATTTTTCAGTTGTTCTACAGGTCGCAATTATAGACCAATCAAAGCGGACGTTAGCATGGGGCAAGAGCTTGAGGCTAGGCATAAGCCTTCCAATTTTGATGGTCATCGGGTAATATTTAGTGGGTGAAAAAGGCCATAAAATTTGTGTTAAATAAAAGTCAAATTTACCATTAAACCGCAAATATTTCTAATCCTGGCGAAGTCGCAAATAGACGAACAGGTCAATTCTGACCGTTACGTAGATGCTGATATTAAATATATCGGTTATATATAGCGAAATACTTACAATGTGTATATACAAAGGAAGGGGATGTTAGTTAGAATGCTTATATCTCAAGAATGGCTGGACCGATTTTGACATGTTTTGTCAAGTTTTTGTCAGGGGATTCCGACCCTCTTAACATAAAAGTAGAAAATCTAAAAAAATCGCAGAAAATTTTGCCAATAACGATGTTAATATAGATTTTGTAGTATTTTGTGAATTTTGTTTATTTTTTCATATTTTTTATCGCATGCGATGTTTTCAATTTGACATAATATTTTGTAATATTTTTTCACCATACAACACAGGTTGGGGATATTAATTAATTATCAATTCACGAAAATTGTCACTAGGATAGGCTAGGCCTATTGTTTTCAAAGATGTCCGCAATATATTAGGGGTTGAAATGGGCCAAACACTAAACATTTTCCTTATTTTGCAGCCTTTATAAAGGTCACAAATAGAAACCAAGGGACACGAAATCTCGCATAAAGTTAGAGTTTAGGACAGCAGGTAGAATGAACTACTAATTTTGTGTGGCGATACCCGAAATACACAAAAGGCGAACCTCTGGTTTTTTTAAGGTGATTTCGTTGACGAATATAGCCAAATATCGTAGACAAGCAAATAATATAGATGAGTCTAAATTTGGAGATTCAAAGGGGCTTCTTGCTTTTGGAGATGATTGCAAAATATTTAGGGGTTCAAATTAACCAAAAACAGAAATGTTTTTCCTATCAAACAATTGAAGCCAATCGACACGCCTGTGAAGAGAGTTAAGGACAAAGAAGAATTCTAGCATTTTGGATGAACGTTGGATTATATTTAGCTGTAAAATGGACCACAACAACTAACACCCCTACGGTGTGCATAAATATTGGGCAAATGTCCCTAGTCAAAATCCTAATTTCAAAAGCGAAATCTTCCAATATGGAATTGGACATAAGGGGGCTTCCAACATATTGTAGTGTTGTAGGGCATAACATAGTCGGCCCCGCACGACTATAGCCTTTGCTTACTTGTTTTATATATGTATTACTGCAATTGAATCTATTATGGCCACTATTGTTATTTTAATTAATACCATTATCTATACATAAAAGAGTAGTGATATAACTGGACGGGCTGCGAATCAATCGGGTGAACAGATGAAGCTGGAATTCTAAAAATTTGTATTGGGGTCACTGTCGATGGCAGGTTTGTGGAAATGAGTACTAAGTGTGCAAAAATACTAAATTGTATTGTATTTGGTATTGCGTGAATGTGTAGAGCCCGACTATCGAATTGACCCTGATCTAGAATACATAAGGTTTAGGAAACTAAGAATTAAAAATTACCTTTAACTTGAAAAATGTTTAATATTAATAATTGAGGTTTGAAAAATTACATTTTCAAGTATTTTGATTTAACGAATATAAAGAGGTACTGGCGAATAGGAAATAAATCATAAATTTGACTTTTGTTTCAATTTTTCTGACAACCTCGAATCGGCAAATTTAACTCTACTGAAATCATGAAATGCCAAATTAGAGCACATTTGTTCGAAGAATATTAAGAGGAGATTATATGAGAGCTATATCTAAGTGAGGACAAATATATACCTTTTGTAACATCAGAATTCAAAGAATAATATGTGCAAAGTTTGAAAGACGCATATTAAATTTAGTGTCCTTTATCGTAATTACAAATGGAGAACGGAGAGGCTCATGGACATAATTTAATCGACGAAGATGTATACTCTTTAACATACTTTATGGGGCCCATAACTTTTATAAGCCGATGACACCGTATTTATGTTAGTTAAATGAAAGTCTTGTTCCCAGGATTTCAATTTGGAAATTACTATCGATTCTGAGGTCAAAAACTCCAAAAAAAAAAAAAAAAAAACTGGTGGAATATATTAGTATTTGTATTATCATCGGAAAATGTGTTAAAACTCCAAAAAAAAAAAAAAAAAAAAAAAACTGGTGGAATATATTAGTATTTGTATTATCATCGGAAAATATGTTAAAACTACAAAAACTAACAGTGGCTTTTTAAGCTAGGATAGATTTACCAATTTTTTGTACATAGTTGGCGTTTTATATGAGAACCCCAAAAGCAAATTATTCCATTTGAAATTGTTGTCAAATGCCTTAAAGCAGGCTGCTCCGTTATATGAGAGCAATACCAAAATATATTTCTGATTTTTTGTACAGGAAAGGACATTTTTTGAGAGAAAATTTTGAGGGTCAGTACATTTTGTACAATTGTAATACACACTTCCAAAACCACCTCCATGCCTTAACCTCAAAGCCCAACAGTTACATATACACTGGTGGCCAAAACTAAAGCAACTGAAATTACAAGGAGAATGAATGCCCTGTAACTTTTTCAAAAATTAAGAAAATGAGAAAGTTTTTCTTGTTTTAAATTAGGTACTTTATTTACTTTTTAAAAACCTAAAACATAAAACCAAAATTCATTTTTATATAAAAAATAATGTTTGGTAAAGTCAATTAACCCGATTTTGGCTTGGACAAAACAAAAGCAACTCTGTTGTACATTCATATAACCGCTGCAATTTCAGTTGTTTTTACTGTGATATTTATCGCTTTTTGCTTCCTTCGACAATTTCGCTTGTCATAAATCCTTTTTGAGAAGTTTTTTACAACAGTATGTGTTTTTCTTTTCCTTTTTTAAGTACTGCACAAAAAGATTTTAAAAATGGCTAGAAGCAAATACAGTACCTGAATAAAACAGCAAATTATCAGTGACTATCAAAACAATATATCGCAGAAAATGATTTCCGAGAAATATTTCATAAATATTTATGTGATTTCATAATTATTTCTGTGCACTAAGTCGGTTTTTTGAAACTGGATCAGTAGTAACAGTCTATAACGGATGAAGGCCGTGAAAAACTTCAGCCCGTACTGATCCACAAATTGTGAGAGAAATAAAAAACAACTATTTAAGAGTTCAACTGGATTGGTGAGAGAGCAATAATTGGAAATAAGCTCGAGATTAGTGCGCAGACTAGTAGTGGCAGCTGGTCTGCATGCCCGTAAGACATCAAAAAACCATTTATATCTGAAAAAATTAAAAAAGGCTTTCGGAAACGATAATATTAAGTGGAATCAAGCTCAATGGAAAAAACATTATTTCTGGGATGAGTCTACGTTTAATATTAAAGGCTCAGACGTCAAAAATTTTACGGTGAGAAGACCAAAAAATGAAGAACTCAAGCCGCAGTGTTGCAAAGGTACAGTGAAGCATGAGGGAGGGTCAAAAATGGCGTGGCGCTGTTTTTCTTTCTATGGACTTGGGCCTATCCATAAAATAAAGGAAGTTGTGGATCGGTTTGTTTACAAAGATGTGTTGGACATCACGTTATTCCCTTACGCTGAGTAAAATATTCGGCTGATTTGGGTGTTTCAGCATGACAATGATTCCAAACTTGTATCAAAACTTGTCAAACATTGGTTGCGGGAGTCAAAAATGCATGCTTTGTTATGGCCGGCACAATCACCTGACCTAAACTCCTTAGAAAACCTTTGGAGTATCGTAGATAGGAAGATCAAGATAGATTCGGAAATAAATAAGCACAACATTTTCTAAAGAATTCGGGGTGCCTGGGAAAGCACACCCAAGGATCAAATTGAGCGTGTTATAGATTCAATGCCTCGTAGGTGTGCAGCTGCTATCAAAAATAATGGTTATGCTATTGACTACTGCCAAAATTTGATTATTTTAAAATAAAAAATCAAAAGTTGCTTTAGTTTTGACCAAGCAAAAATTGGGTCATTTTAGTTTTCCACATATTATTTTTCGTTCAAAATTATTTTTAGTTTCTTAAAAGTGAATTAAACCCCTCATTTAAAACTGGAAAAATAATTACGATTTGTTTATTTTTGTAAAAGTTACAGGATATTTATTGTCTTTGCGATTTAAGTTGCTTTAGTTTTGGCCACCAGTGTATATCAAATTTCAGGATTTCTGCTCTATTTCTTCAGCCAATACCAAATTTAGAACTATTTAGTACTTTACCTTTAGTACCGATTTTTAAAAGCACCTCCATATCTTAATCCCAGATACCAACAAATTTCAGAATTCCAGCTTTATCCCTTCAGCCAATACCAAATTTAGTACCATTCAGTACTCTTCGTAGCATATAGGACGCATTTCGAAACCACCACCAGAATTTTAGTTCTATCCTTTTAACCAATACCATATATAGTACCATACAGTACTATTTGTGCGATTGTAGTACACATTTCCAAAACCAGGCCAAACAGCAAATTTAAGATTTCGAGCACTATCTGTTCACCCAATACCACATTGTACAGTATATATTACTATTTGAGTAAATTTCGTACACATTTCCAAAATAAACCTCCCACTAACATGGAACCCTTAGTACACATATTCGAACTGTTAGCTTTATCTGTTCCATTTTACAAGTTTAGAGCGATTTTAGAACTTTTCATAACCATCAAGTTACAATTTCCAAAAAGGCGATAGTACATCTATCCTGCATTTTATCAGTGACACTCATTTCATTCAGAATTCTCATTAAGTCTGTCCAATACAATTATTCAATTTTTAGTACATTTTAGTACTTTTCGCATCCAGTAAGTACATATTTCCAAACACCTAGCCTTATCATATGCCTAAGCACCAAAACTGACCCTCATGCTAAATTTCAAGATTCTAGAATCAGCCGATTTGTCTTGGCATGGATTCTTGATCGGTCAGCAGGTTAGTTATTTCACTTCTCTGTGTTATACTCTACACCACAAGGTGGTCAGGGTATTATGTCTTTATGCATTTATTTGTAACAGGCAAAAGGAAACAAGATAGACACATAGTTCCTTTTGATGATCTGCATAGAATCACATTCTGAGTCGATTTATGCATGTCGGTCCGTCCGTCTGTCCACGTATTTTTGTAAACAAAGTACAGTTCGCAATTTTTGCCCTATCCAGATGAAATTTAGCACAAATTATTTGTTTGACCCAAGGACGAACCCTATTGAAATTGGAGATAATCGGTCAAAATTTAGATATAGCTCCAATATATATCTTCGCCCGATTTGCCTTTTATTGTGCACCAAACGTCTAATATCAGCCCGAATAGTATGAAATTTTGCACATACAAACAAATTAGCCCTGAAAATGAGTATGCCAAATTTGAAATTCGAAATCGGTTCAGATATAGCTATAGCTCCCATATATATTGTTTATCCGATTTGTCATTTTTGTCCTTCGCAGCCGTAATATGCACTCTGTTACAACAATCTTTAGGGAAATATATCAAATACAGACCAAAAAAACATGTGCCAAATTTTATCGAGATCGGTTCAGATTTGGATATAGCTCCCATATATATCTTCGTCCGATTTACCTTTTATTGTGCGCCAAATGGCTAATATCCGTCCAAATCGTGTGAATTTTGGCACTTCCGACCGAATTTAGTGTAGAAATAAGTACTTTAAACGTTGGTGAAAATCGGTTCAGATATAGCTATTGCTCCCATATATATGTTTCATCCGATTTGGTGTTAAAGACCCTCACATTCGTAAATACACCCCACAAAAATGATATTTAGTACCAGATATTAGATTCAGCCCAGCAATACATGATTCCAATTTTATAAAGATCGGATCAGATTTCGATATAGCTCCCATATCATTATCGGATTTCAGGTTTATTGTGCGCCAAATGGCCAATATCAGCCCAAACAGCCTGAAGTTTAGCGCATTAGGCCAGGTTTAGCCTAGAAGCAAATACATCAAAAATTTCGGTTCAGATATAGCTATATATCCCATATATATGTTTCATCCGATTTGGTGTTTACGTCCCTCAAATTCGTGAAATGCACGATAGAAGAATAATATTTGGTACCAGATATCAGATACAGCCAAGAAATAGCTGTTTTCAATTTTATAAAGATCGGTTCAGATTTGGATGTAGCTCCCATATCGTTAACTTCAACCGAATTTAGCATAGAAGCAAGATTTTTAAATCTGCATAGTGGTGTGGGATATCATATAGTCGGTCTCTCCCGACTTTTGAGCTTTCCGTACTAGTTTATGTTAGTTTATTTTAGTTTAAGAATCCCACTACTGATACTGCTTAATTGGGATATGCAAAGTTCGAAGAAAATGGTAAACAGATTTCACTTTTAAGGAGAGCTATTGATATTAAAAATTTTGTCGTTTTGTCCAAATATGATATAAATATTACCACGGACCAAGTTTTGGTTATATCGGGTACTCAATTATATAACCTCTGTAGTCATAAGGCTGAAGATAAAGTAACACGTCAAAAATTTCCTCCAAGTAGTGCTCATTATTGACATATCCCCTTTGGGTGTATATTCATTTCACAAATATATTCCTTTATTCCAAACATGATCTTTATTGCCTTTTATTTACTTATTATGTCTTAATTCAATTTTATCACTTTATTTCTTTTATTATTCGCTTTTCTGTGCCGGGGTGGAACATGGCTGCTCTCGTTAACTGCCATTTAAACTCTTGTGAATGTGGAAACTTAACCTCATTGGCAGAATGACAGCTACAATTCGGCCACGACGACAACGGCAGCCACAACGGCGACAATATTCTCCATACGCAACGGGACACACAATCTCTACTTGGAAACGTATCGAGATGGTTTACACCTGTATTTGGAACGAGATAAAACCACTGAAATGCTGCCGATTCAATTTAATTTATACGACTATCGGTGGCATCAAGTGGCCATAAGGTGGGTAGCAGCAAAGTTTGTGTGGAAAGAAAAAAAAACTGACTGTTGAAATACACAAGTATGTAATGCATGAGTGAGCGTGTTTGTGTGTGAGTGTGAGTGTAACATCCCCATAAATGTATTTTTGAACATCCTGTCGTGTGGGCGTGTGTGTGGTGTCTCTGTGTGTGTGTTAAGTGCCTTCGGCTCTTGGCAGAGTTACTGAAATTTACATTTTTATTGGTCATAGTTGAGGTCGTTTTTTTGTGTGTTTTTGCCATTCAATGTTCAAATGTTATTACATTTTATTTTATTTTATGTGGGGAAAAAAATAAATTAATTTTATTACGAATTTTCATATTTGACTGTTCATTGTTTGTGTTTTTGTCTTGTTCTCTTTGTTTTTGACAGCATAAAAAATGGTGATTTCATAACGATATACATCGATTGTTCCTGGTCGAACAGTTTTGTCGTTTCGAAACGTTTATTTTCATTGCCTTTGGATGCCGATGTTGAAGTTGGAAGGGGTTTCAATGTAAGTATATAAATAAACAATATAGAAAATACAATGCGAATGCGAAAAAACATATTGTAATTACATTTTGTTACATTGCCATAAAAGGACACAATTGGATTGTGTCATTGAAATGTTCATTCAGTTTTATGGCAATTAAATAAGGACAAATTGAAAAAAAAAGAAGGGTATTTGTATGGATCGTAAAATTGCAGTTATATTGTCATGAGAAGAGAGAAGAAGAGTTTACAGAGATTTAAGTACGTAATTATCAGCTCAATTACTGCCTCAAAAATTATAAGTTCGATAAGTTCGACGGCAGGTCATTTTGGACAAATCCGTTTCAGATTCTTGGTGTAAATATAGCAATGTCCGTCCATCTAGCAGTGTTTCCGTCTGTCTCTCGAAGAAAGAATCCGATTACCAATGAATGATCTAGTGGGAAAGTGGGTCTTATCGGAATTCTCCACACAAGGTTAAATATTTTAAATAATTATAACTCTGATAACACGCTGGCTAATCTAGAGCGTTTATCAACGCCCAGACGAAACTACTGAAGCAAGAGTCTTGAAATGTTGAGTGAGGGTCATTCTTGGTCCAAATGGGTCAGATAAGGCTGGTTTTTTTGTGAAACTCGTACTAGAACGGCACGAAAAGTAATAAAAGGTACTAATATGCGACCCTTTGCATTTGAGGAAACATAAGACGTAGAACAATTAAATTTAAATCAAGGTTGAGGAGTAGTGTCGATGTAAGGAGTTTTGGAAGTATATACTCATCTATGCGAAAAGCACCAAATTTAGTACAATTTGAATATGGAGGGACGAATGGAGCTGGAATTCTAAAATTTGACTGGATTGGGATTTAGACGAAATTTGTACTTATGTGCACGAAAAGTTCTAAATGAACTGAATTTGGTACAATTTCGATTTGGGTGAATCGATAGAGCTGGAATTCTGAAATTTGAAAATAAAATTACTATTGCATTAAATTTGTACTTAGCTAAATTTGGAAATAAAATTGCTATTGCATCCCTGGTCTGCGGAATGTAAATAGTTTTGGATATTCGTACTTATGTGTACTAAATTTGTTTAAGTTAGAATTGCCAAACGATCCAGAGAGCCGTTCGCTTAGCACGGACCGTAGAGAGATGCATTCTTGGGCTAAAAGGTTGCCTGCAACTTCCCCTTGGAGCCTACGTTCGCTTGGCTCGGACAGTAGGGAGAAAGCCTTCCTAGTCTGAAGATTTTCCCTACAACTCTCCTTGGGGCCTACGTTCGCACAGCTCGGACCGTAGGCAGCTTTTCCAAGTCATTTCTCTACAACTCTCTCTGGGTACTCTCTCAGCCCGTGTTGCTGTTAGAGATTTCCTGGAAGCATCGGTGCTTCCAGCCACCTCGATGCATTGCGACTTGGCATTCATAGACACTCTCTTGCTAGCTACGGAGCTAACCGCATAAAAAAGCTAATCTGTCAACTCGGGTTGACCAACTCTCACAACATCTCAATAAACGGTTATTTATATTATATTAAAACTAATCCTTCTTTGGTTTTATTTATCTCTTTATTTCTACGGTCACGGTTTGTATGCCTGAGAGAACATCAGCGTCTCATAGGGAGAGAAACAAAGTTTGTTAAAATTTATATTTAGTGTGAACCGGTAGAGTTGGAATCCTGAAATTTGAAAATAAATTTTCTTTTTGATTGTATGTAGGTAGTTATGAATATTTGTACTTATGTGTACTAAATTTGGCACATCCAGAAAATTGGAAATAAGATTAGTGTCGGAGTGTAGGATTGAGACACATAGGTAGTTTTGGAAATGTGTACATATGTGTTCTAAAATGTACTAAATTTTGACACAATTTGGATTTTTGCGAACTGATGGAGCTGGAATCCTAAAATTAGGAATTAAGATTACTGCTGTAATATAGTCTTGGGTTGTGTAGGAAGCTTTGGAAATTCGTACTTATCTGTACTATATGGTACAATTTGTGTTTAGACGGGCCGATAAGGATGGAATGTTGTACTTTAGAATTGGGATTATTGTGGGAGTATAGGATTGGGGTATGTAGGAAATTCATACTTATGTGTACTAAATAGTACTATATTATTTTATATATATAATTATATGTACTAAAATATATTAAATAAAGTACAATTTGTATATGGGCGAACCAACAGGCGTAGAATCCTAAAATATGGAATTGGGTAAAATAAAAAACAAACAAAAAATGTATGGATATTAAGGTTGGAAAGTAAGTTTGATATATTAAAGTTGTTTTGAAGTGAGGGAACTGCACTAAGTGGTACTAAATTTGGGGCCCAGTTGGTAGTAGGTTTCTAATAAAGAGGTGGTTTTGGAAATGTGTAATACAAGTAAACGAATAGTACTAAATAGTACAATATTTAGTACAATTTGGTATAGGGTGAACGGATAATGCTTGAAATCTGAAATCTGGTATTAGGGTCGCTCGTCATGTGTAGCCTAGACATATGTTGGTGATTTCGGTACTATAATTTGCATTTGTTGAAAGAATAAAGCTGAAATCCTGAAATTTCACGTTGAAATATTTTCGGACAGATGGTTTTGCTAATATCCTCCTCGGTCATCTTCAAAATAAATGATTATGAAGACTTTCTGGTGCAAAAGGTAATTCATGATCTACAAATTGGTGTAAGCCTTCCATCATAGTACGAAATAGAGATTGTAGACCCTACTAGAGAATCCTTCCGAGTTGTATTAGAGTCAATATAGACTGGAAAATAGTTCTTGTTTAAGTCCCCTCTCTTTTAAGTTCCTTCTGAAGTTTGGAGGCTTTTAAAAACCAGTCGTTTAGTAAAATTCTCTTCAAATCACTTATAAGATCTCCTTAAAATGATCTACAAGGGTACAAGGTTATGAGTCGCACCTAAAACTCTTTTGAGTTCTCTATAACGTTTTTTATGGCGTCTATTAAGACTTATATCAAGTCGTTCTATAAAAATTATTTTAAATTGTCTAAAAAATCAGCTTTCAAGTTTTATAGATGGACGCCCTCCAAGAAGTATATGGAGACTTTTTGCAATTTGAAAAAACTTTTAAACTCTTATAAATATTATTATGCGTCTATAAAGATATGTTCTGTGGTTCAATTCGCCTATAAAGACTCCTTCCAAGTCTAGAGTGAGACTTCTTTCAAGTCGTCTATAAATATTTTTTTTTAATTGCTAAGAACGGCTCTTTAGCAGAAAGATGTCCTCCCTTCTTTCCGTTAGTCAGTAGGAATCAAGATGGAGGTTACAATAAATGAAAGTTAGCGAGGATAACCAGAGCTTACCATTTTGGAAATAACCATTAGTTAAAAAAGAAAACGGTTTATGACTGACCCTGTAAAAAATTTACTTGGGCACCTTAGAGGAACTATATATATATATTAATTGCAAGTTATTCATGGAGACACTTTTCAGGTGGTGCGTACAGAATTCTTCCAAGTTCTATATTAACAGTACTACATATTGCGGATTCTCATTGGGCTGTTAACAGTTAATCTTGATTTTTGGTTTTTAAAAAAACCCCAACTGCGAATCAATTACATGCACTTTAAAAAGGAGGGTATATTAACTTTGTTATTCCGTTTGTAACATCCCTAAATATTCGTCCGTCTGTGTGTCTGTCTGTTGAAATCACGATATAGCACACATTATTTGGCGTAGAGCTTAAACATTTGGCAGAACAATTTGTATTGTGTCTAGGATGGTTGGTATAGATATGTCGGTCCACGTTATGGTATAGCTGCCATATAACGGTACCACCCGATACTCGGTATTTTGATGATTTTCGCCATAATTTGTCTATAAATTTGTATTTGTAGGTCATAATGGGTTCTAGCTCCGGCACAGAACATATTATGTTTTCGTATATCCCCCATATGATGGTACCTACCGATATTTGATATTTTAATGGCTTCTGCCACATTTTTGCACGGATTTGTCTAAAAATTGGTATTTGTAGGTCATAAAGGGTTCTAGTTCTAGAACATTGTATGTATGGGTCTATGTTTTCGTATAGCCCCCATTTAACGGCACCTCCCGATATTCGGTATTTTGATGATTTTGTGTCATTATCCACGGATTAGTCTAAAAATTGGTATTTGTAGTTCTTAATGGGGTTTCGCGGCAGTGGCAGAACATTGAATATCTAGGTCAATTTTTTCCTATGGCCGCCATATAATGGCAGCCACTGTATATTTGCACTTGTATTTGTAGTTTAAAGTGGAACACGGTTGAATTAAGATACTTCTATATAAAAATGTTTTCTTTACCCAGGTGGATATTAATAGTTCGTCCCGGCCGAACTTAATGTTTTTTTTACCTGTTAAAATATTCAATATTTGTTTTCCCTCCGTATAATAGCAATTCCAGATTATAGGGTATTTGAATATGTCCAAGTTTTTGCACAGTGGAAGTTACTAAAAGTTAATTTTGACCTAACTAAGGAGCATTTTTAACTGTTTTGCCTTGAAAGCATTATGAGCAGTTCTAAGGAGCTTCTCTTTCTCATCCAAGTTTATGCCCCACCTTTAAATCTGACAAATGTATTTTTTGAAATACACACTCATATGAAAACAAGTAAGCAAAGGCTATATTCGTGCGGGGTTGTGATACCCTACAACACTACAACATGTAAGAAGCTTCCTTATGACCAAATCCATTTTGGAAGATTTCGCTTTTGAAATTATGTCACGGAGCACTGCCCAGGTATTGACCTTAGCATTTTGACCAAGGACATTTCCCCAATATTTACGTGCTGTTAGTTGTTGTGGTCAATTGTACAGCTATATATAATAAAATTCTAGACTTCTTCCCTGTCCTTAACTCTCTTCTCATGCAAAATTCCGTGTCGATTGATTTCAATTTCAATTCATTTGAACCCCTAATTATTTCCCAATCATCTCCAAAAGCAAGAGACTTCTCTATTTCTCAAAATTTAGACTTATCTATATTATTTGCTTGTCTACTATATTTGGCTATATTCGTCAACGAAATCAGCATTAAAAGGCCAGAAGTTAGCTTTTTGCGTATTTCGGATATCGCCTGTAAGTAATATTGGTATTTTTCACACAAAAGTAGTGTTCCATTCTATCCGCTGTCCTAAACTCTAACTTCATGCGAGATTTCGTGTAATTTGGTTTCCATTTGAGACCTTTATAACGGCTGTAAAATCTGGAACATTTGTAGTTGTTGATCCATTTCAACCCCTAAATACTTTGCGGACTCTTTGAAAACAATAGGCCTAGCCCTTCTGAGCCTAACCCTACCCTTGTGAAAATTTTCGTGAGGATCGAACGATAATTGCAATCTGTAATAATAACATCAACCTGTGTTGTATGGTGAAAAAATATTAGTAACCAATAACCAGTAGGAATGCGTGACCGACTTTATGATACCCTACACCACTTTGCTAATTTAGTAGAGCTCAGCATAACAATTAAAAGCTTTTATGGGAGAATTCAATTATACACGCTATGATTATAATTATAATTTAAAGAACTAAAGGAAGCATTTGTATCTTTTAAATTCGGACTTGTATTGCTCATTTGGTGCACAATTAATTTGAAATCGGATAAAGATATATATGGGAGCTATATCTAAATCGGAACCGATCTTGATAAAATTTAGCAACGATATTTCTGTGCTGTATTTGATATATTTCCCTGAATATCGATGTTACGGGGTGCATATTACGGCTGTGGGTAAGAAATATAACAAATCGGATGAACAGTATATATGGGAGCTATACCTATATCTAAACCGATCTTCACCAAATTTGACATACAAACTTCTAGACTCAATTCCGTCGTCATGCCTAATTTGGTTGTATGTGCAAATTTCCACATATAATTCGGGCTGATATTACACGTTTGGTGCACAATAAAAGGCAAATCGGACGAAGATATATCTGAATTTTGACCGATTATCTCCAATTTCAATAGGGTTCGTCCTTGAGCCAAAAAATGATTTGTGCAGAATTTCATCTGGATAGGGCAATAAATGCGAACTGTACTTTGTTTTGTCAGACGGACGGACGGATATGCATAAATCAACTCAGAATGTGATTCTATGCAGATCATCAAAAGGAACTATGGGTCTATCTCGTTTCCTTTTACCTGTTACAAAGAAATGCACAAAGACATTATACCCTGACCATTTTGTGGTGCAGGGTATACAAATTCACAAAATACTACATAATCTATATTAATATCATTATTGGCATCTTTTTATGCGATTTTTCAGATTTTTTACTTTTATGCCAAGAGAGCATCTTAAAGTGACAAAATTTGTCAAAATCGGTCCAGCCATTCTTGAGATATAAGCATTCTAGCTAACATCCTCTTCTTTTGTTGTATATACTTCGCTATATATATCCAATATATTTACTATCAGCATCTACTAAAAGGTCAGAATTGACCTGTTCGTCTATTTGTGATTTGGCGAGATTACAAATATTTGCGGTTTAATGGAAAATTTGACTTCTCTTTAACACAAATATTATGGTCTATTTCACCCACTAAATATTACCCGATGACCATCAAAATTTGAAGGCTTCTGCCCAGCTCTAAGCTCTAGCCTAATGCTAACTTCCGCGTCGATTGGTCCATAATTGCCTGAAAAGTAACTGCAAAATCATGAATTTTTTCAGATTTTGGTCCATTTCAACCCCTAATCCCCTAATAACGATCATCTCCAAAAGCGATAGGCTTCTATTCTGGCCCTAGCCCCACCTCCATTCTAATTTTCGATCGGGTCATAATTGCGACCTGTAGAGTGATTACAAATTAACATGGACAGACGGACGGACGGACATACATAGCTAGATCGACGAAAAAATCAAACTTATAATCCAATTCAAAATCCAATCAAACTTATAATACCCCAACATACTGTTGCAGGGAATAATTAGAAGAAATAACAAATCTATAGAAAGATTGTTTGGCATTCAATTTAAATTCGACGACAGGCGGATCAGACAAGCTTCTTCCTACGCCCAACATCATTACATATTCCAAACTGTTATTTAATGAGCCAAATGTATCCACATTGTTTATATAACATAATTACTTCTAAATATATAAATTCATTTTATGTGTATCTTTATTAAATTATTAACATCACAACAACATCGATGGTGGTTGGCTAATTAAATTAACTAATTTCATTATTACTCTTTAACATTTCAGGGTGAACTACAACAACTGCTGATATTACCACGGCTACAAGGACGTCGGCAATGCTCCGATAAGCGAATATCCATAAATGAAGTGAAACGTTATATAATCGATACATTTATCGGCGATTATGGGAATTAAAGCCGGCCGACAACTTTTGTTCAACAATAATTTGTTAGTGACTTAAATATTTGTTTTAGTCTGATTTCCTTTTGTGAAACGAAACAATAAACTAGGAAAATATCCAACCATACATACATACATACATGCATACAACCACATACATTTTTGCTACATAACTAATCGCATGGTCATGGAAAAACAAAAAAACTAAGCTGATTACCACGAGCAAAAAGAAAATGCAAAACAAAATGAAAAACTAATGAATATCTTAATAAGTTTCTGAGAATATATTATGAATATATTTTTCATATAAGTTTAAGGCGAACAGAAAACTTTGCAATACAATAAATGTAATTGATTATATATTATAACTACTATTATTATATTAATATTATTATTATTACTATGATTATATACAGCCATTAGTACATACATATATGTATACATTATTGTGGACAGAAAAAAAAAAGATGACGTAAACTAAGAGACAAATAAATCGAACCGTAAAACATAATATTACTAATAAATTGGTATAAAAAAGAAAAGTGTGAAAACTACTTGAATACAAATTCTGGAACTCTTAATTGGTGCTCAACAAAAGGTAAGTACGTTTCCGTTTGAATACTTTAAGTGGCAACAAAAACCTTGACTTGCAGTAGTCAACAGTTGTTAAAGTAAGAACTGAGGAATTTGAATTGATTTTGTCATGCCGCCACCCTTTAGGCTTATACATGTCAACATAAAAAACCACTAAAGAAAGCCTTAAAGTCGGGCCGGACCAACTTTATGATCCCCTACACCACTTTGCTAATTTAGTAGAGCTCCACATAACAATTACAAATTTTTATGGAAGAATTCAATCATACGAGCTATGATTATAATTATAACTTAATGTTCAAAAGACTAAATATGCCGAAGCATTTGTATCTTTTAAATTTGGACTTGTATTGCTCGTTTGATATATATGGGAGCTATATACAAATCTGAACCGATCTTGATAAAATTTGCCAAAAATATTTCTGAGCTGTATTTCATATATTTCCCTGAATATCGTTTTTATGGAGTGTATGATACGGCTGTGGATAATAAATCCAACAAAATTGGATGAACAATATATATGGGAGCTATAGCTTTATCGGAACCGATCTTCACCAAATTTGACATACTAGCTTCTAGACATGTGCCAAATATCATCCCATTTGGTCAAATATTAGACGTTTGGTGCACAATAAAAGGTAAATCGGACGAAGTTATATATGAGCTATATCCAAATCTGAACCGGGCTGATATTACACGTTTGGTGCCCAATAAAAGTCAAATCGGAATCAAATTGGGAGCTATATCTAAATTTTTACCGATTATCTCCAATTTCAATAGGGTTCGTCCGTGGGCCAAACAAATGATTAATTAATTAATCGACTCAGAATGTGATTCTATGCAGATCATCAAAAGGAAGTATGGGTCTATCTCGTGAATAATGTAGCTATAATCATCAAAATACCGAATATCGGTAGGTACCGTTATATGGCGGCTATACGAAGACGTGGGTCTGCATAGACAATTTTCTGCCTTAGGCTGTAGTATCCGTTACAAACTTCAGATACCAAATTTGAAACAATTCCGGTGAGTAACAACAAAGTACCGAATATCGAGGGATACCATTATATGGGGGCTACACGAAGACGTGGACCTGCACAGACAATTTTCTGTCTTAGGCTGTAGTATCCATTACGAATTTTAAATACCAAATTTGAAACAATTCCGGTGAATGATTTCGCTAAAAACATCAAAATAACGAGTATCGAGTGGTACTGTTATATGAGGGCTATACGAAGACGTGGACATACATGGCCCATTTTCTGTCTTAAGCCGTAGTAACTTTTACGAACTTGAAATACCAAATTTTGATACAATTCCGGTAAATAATGTCGCTAAAATCATCAAAATACCGCATATCGGAGGTACCGTTATATGGGGCTATACTAAGACGTGGACCTACATGGCCCATTTTCAATACCAAAAGTCCAGCAGACAAAATACACATTAGAGTAAAATTGGATCAACCTGCTTCATTTCGTTCGGAAGCTAGAGTTATTTACACAGACGGACATTGCTAAATTGACTTAGAATCTTATGCTGATAAGGAATATATATACTTTGGACATTTCGTGGTGTTACAAACGGAATGAAAAACTTAATATACCCTCCATGCTATGGTGGAGGGTATAAAAAAAAAAAAAATACAATTGAGTATCGATCGATATAGCGCACTATGGAGCCGATGGCATGTTTTCAAGGCAAAAATCACAGGAACAAGGTAGAGCTTTCAAATTTCTTTTTAAGGTGCTTGTTAAGAAGAGAACAACATCTGCAGAATTTATTTCGAATTGGCAAAAATATATATATTGCTCCAACATATAACGTTCACCAGATTTGAGATTTTGATTCCTCATAGTCGTAATATGAACTCTATAACAATGACATTCGGTACGAGGTATCAGATACAGAAATACTTTTCACAAATTTGGTTGAGATGGGTTCAGATATACCTATAGCTCCTATATGTACTCCTCACTTTCTTTTTTGTAAATGACACACCAACCTTGCTATTTTCGTCTAAGTAGGTTGTGTATTGGATCGTACGATAAAATTTCGTCAAGGTTAAAGTCTTCCATATTTGGAGCAAATCAATTCCTTTATATGTTTCATGCGATTTTATATCTAACCCCTCTAAAGCAATGATATTTGGTACAAGATGTCACCACAGTATAAAGATCTTTCAGCTAAATTTAGTGCAAAACTATTCAAATATAGCTTCCTAATATATATATCATCCGATTTCAAGCCGTATTGGGTATTCAATTAAGATCATTGTTGATATTATTTATTTTAAAGTGGGCGGAACCGTAATGTGCGAACAATATCAAAAACGTGAGCCTACATATACTGCTAAAGGGATTGTTATGGACTGCGGGTTTTAAACCCCAAGATTAAAGCAATTCCGCCAAAAATGCGGAATATTGTGAATATGGAACTTTGAATACGATATATGGGTCGTCTTACAAAACAAACAAGCATTACCAACCACTGAACTTTTTTCTAGCCTCCATCATATAGTATATAGTAGTATGGAATGACGAACTTAATACGCCAATCCGTTTGTAACTAATCGAAATAATAATTTTTTTAGACATAACAAAGTTTATATGTATATTCTTGATCAGCGATTTAGCCCTGCCCGCCCGTCCCCCTGTCCATCTGTTATAATCACGCTAGAGTCAAAACGAATAAAAATAGGAAGCTAAAATTGAGCACAGTTCAGTCTTTTGTCTACAGGCGGGTCAAGTTCGAAGATGGACTATATCAGACCACGGTATTTTGATGATTATAGCTAAATTTACCAATGAAAGAAGTTCCTTCTGAGCACATTACCCCCTGAAGGGTATTGTCTATATGGGTCCACGATATCGTACATCTCCCATATAGCTACATTTTTCAATGGAATCGTCTACAAATTCATACTAAAAGTTCTTTCTAAGCACTCTACACTCTGGAAGAGAAATGTCTATATAGGTCCACGATATCGTATAACCACATAAAAGGGTACCCCCCGATATTCGATATTTTGGCAATTATATTGACATTATTCACCAGAGTTGTTTAAAATTTCGTATTTAAAGTTCCTAATGGGAACTACAGTCTATGCCAGAAAATTGTCTATGCAAGTTCACGTCTTCGTATAGGCCCATATATCAGTATTCGGTATTTTGACGATTTTAAGTACAATATTCCTCGAAATTGTTTGAAATTTCGTATTTGAAGTTCCTAATAGGTACTACAGCCTGTGACAGAAAATTGTCTATGCAGGTCCATGTCTTCGTATAGCCCCGGTACCTTCCCATATTTGGTATTTTAATGATTTAAGCTTCATATTCACTGAATTTTTGATGACAAAAGTTACCTATGCATGTCCATGTCGTCACATAGGCCCTAATATAACGGCTACATTCGGTGTTTTTGAGATTTTAACAGAACGGATTTTATTTTTTGAAAATTACCAAATTCGTTCCAAATGGTGGTGGCTATTCAACTTTACCATAAAATGAACTCGCGATTTTCTTTTCAATTAAAATAATTCGAAAAAGTATCAAATAAAAAGTCACGCTTTTTAATATTAAATTTGAAGTTATAATATTTATTATAATTGATATTATTCCTCATTATATCCTACACCACAAGGTGGACAGGGTATTATGTCTTTGTGCATTTGTTTGTAACAGGCAAAAGGAAACGAGATAGACCCATAGTTCCTTTTGATGATCTGCATAGAATCACATTCTGAGTCGATTTATGCATGTCCGTCCGTCCGTCTGTCCATGTATTTTTGTAAACAAAGTATATTTCGCATTTATTGCCCTATCCAGATGAAATTTTGAACAAATCATTTGTTTGGCCCAAAAACGAACCCTATCGAAATTGGAGATAATCGGTCAAAATTTAGATATAGCTCCCATATATATCTTCGTCCGATTTGCCCTTTTTTGTGCACCAAATGTCTAATATTTGCCCAAATAGTATTAAGTATAGCACATACAACCAAATTGGGCCTGAAAATAAGTATGCCAAATTTGATCGAAATCGGTTCAGATATAGCTATAGCTCCCATATAAATTGTTCATCCGATTTGTTATTTTTGTCCTCCGCAGCCGTAATATGCACCCTGTAACAACAATATTTGGGGAAATATATCAAATACAGCTCAGAAATACATTTGGTAAATTTGATCGAGATCGGTTCAGATTTGGATATAGCTCCCATATATAACTTCGTCCGATTTATCTTTTATTGTGCACCAAACGTATAATATTTGTCCAAATATGATGAAATTTTACACTTACGACCGAATTGAGTCTAGATGGTAGTATGTCAAATTTGCTGAAGATCGGTTCAGATATAGCTATAGCTCCCATATATACTGTTCATCCGATTTGTCATATTTGTTACCCACAGCCGTAATATGCACTTCGTAACAACGATATTTAGGGAAATATATCAAATACAGCTCAGAAATATCTTTGCCAAATTTTATCGAGATCGGTTCCGATTTGGATATAGCGTCCATATATATTTTTATCCGATTTCAAATTAATTGTGCACCAAATGGGCAATACAAGTCCGAATTTAAAAGATACAAATGCTTCGGCATATTTAGTCCTTTGAACTTTAAATTATAATTATAATCATAGCGTGTATGATTGAATTCTCCCATAAAAACTTTTAATTGTTATGCGCAGCTCTACTAAATTAGCAAAGTGATGTAGGGTATCATTAAGTCGGCCCGCCCAACTTTAAGACTTTCTTTACTGGTTTTTTTAAATGAGCGAAAGATGGATGAAATTCATTGATTTGCTTTCAAAAATATTAACCAAACTGTTCAATATTTCAATTCCATGACAAAACTGTTTAACATATTTAATGCGCAGCCCGCAATGTAGGTTGGTTCCAATTATTATTTTGAAAATTATTAT